TATTTTTACATTTGTATTTTACTCATATTCATACACCTAAATCACCCCCTCATATCTACCCTATGGCCTGCTTGCAAATAATTCTGACCCCCTTTGCTTTTCTGTGACTTAAACTTTCTCTAACTATCATCTATCTATCTATCTATCTATCTATCTATCTATCTATCATCTATCTAATCTTCCTATTTTTAGTATCTCTTTACACAGAACATTTTCTTTTTAAAGAATGTTTTATTTATTACTTTTATGTGTATGAATATATTGCCTTATATGCTTACAATGTATATAAGTGCATTAATGTCATGGAATGCCTGTGGAGGTTAGAAGAAAGGTTTTGGGAATTGTTATCCACAATGTGGGTACTGGGAAACCAACGCGGGACCAGTACAAGAGCAGTCAGTGTTCTTAAAGCAGCACCATCTCTCCATCCCAGCATAGAACATGTTCATGCAAATACTTAACATAACCATAGTCTCCCTCATCTCTCAATATGTTCCTATTTTTCAACCCTTCTTCCCAATTTGTCTTACTTTTTACATAGATATTTTCAAATCCACCTTCAAGGCATCTACACATAAATAATTTTATGTATGTATTTAAAATCTGTGACTCACATATTGAGAGAAAATATGTGATATTTTACTTTCTAGGACTTATTTTATTTGCTTATATGGTTACCTTGAACTGTATCCATTTTTCTACAAGCAACTTAACTTCATTCTTTTATGGGTGAAAACAATTCTATTGTGTTTCTTTTTCACATTTTCTTTACCCATTTCTTTGTTAATGGACACTTCAGCTGGTTCCATAATTTAAGCACTGTGAATAGGGCTTCAGTGAACTGCAGTATGCTAGTATCTCTGAGGTGTGTTGTCTTTGTGGTATTGCTGACATAATTTGAGACTATCTTTTAGACATATCTCAATATATGACATTTGCTTCTAATATAAGTTAATTGTTTTATAAATCAATATTTCAGTTTAGTCACTGTGAAGACAAAGTTAATGCATTTTACTTATTCATGTGTTATTAGGGAGATTATACATACATTATTAAATTCCTGGCTATGAATCAAGCTTTCTTGGATGGAATTGTATTTTGTTTTCTATAGGTAGAAACCCATTGCCAAATTAGTGAACACAAACCAATTTTCAGTTTAATCACATGTATAATGAAGATATAAAAATATACTAGATGCTGTTAACATTTTATCCTTAAGCATGATGTTTCTGGGGATTTATTAAAGACACCAATTAAATGGAATATAAATTCACTTCAGTTTTCAGTTTACCATAGACACACAGTTTACACTCATACACATAAAAATAAATAAATAAATATTTTTTAAATATCCGAAATTGATATTCAAAACAAAAGTATACAAAGATTTTATTTAAGAATGGCATGAAGCTTGCTATTTGGTAAACTGTTATGAAGCTAGAATAGTTATACAATAGACTTTTTCAATAGTCTGTTAGTGAACCAATATATAATCTTAATGACAAATTGAAAATATGGGGGAACAGAGGGATTATTTTTCAATAAACAAAAGATTATTCAGAATCCAATTGTGGAATGCTTACAAATTTTGACACATTTGAACAAAAGCTAAGGTGAATGGCTTTTGGGGGGTTGGAAAGAAAAAAGAAAAGCCCAAATGAAGTAAAATAAGATATTTCAAATGAAATAAATATATTTTTACTATAAACTAGTATATTATACACTATATATAAATACCCATGTATAAATACCCAAGATAGAAGTTTCTTTAAAGCACATACATGCACACACACACACACACACACACACACACACACACATTGAACTCAAAGATTCTGAATGTGTAAGCTTTTCTCAAATTATAACAGTTGGGAAAATATTTCCAGACATGATCTTAAGATGTATTTCATATCCATAAATTCTAAAATATGCACTTATATATCCACACAAAAATAACAAATGTGGATTATGGTACTTCAGTTATTTTGCAGGGTAGATTTGGTTTTATTTCATGACACAGTAAAGATGAGTTGATCATGCAATTTGCTTTGACCAAATTAATTTTGAGTGGTTGTCAGTATAACTTAAGCACAGATTTAAAGAAGAGTCATTTTGGTGTCAAATAATATATGCATCTTAAACTTCATTGAACAGTTTTAATGAGTGTTCTAAAGGGGTTGCAGATTTACATTTTGATCAGTGTTCAGTGTGACTACCTCAAGAGTTCTTTAAAGCCGATGAATTTAAAATCCAATGTTTACCTCATGAAATTATCATTCCCTTGTGAAAATGATTCATTTGGTGCTAGATAATAGGTTCTTCAGGCTAGTTCTGGAGATGAATCAGAGCTCTCAACCTAACTTCAATGAATCTGTAGCATAAGGTTATAATGGTTATTGTTAAATGGTTAAATCACTAATAAATTGTGCATTCCATTGCAGCACAACTTGAGTTGGTCTAATACTTGGGTTAAATGATAAGTCATAATGGGAAAAAACTCCTTTTTTGTTACTTATAAACTCATGGCAAGGTAACTAAAACTCTAATTCAGTTTAACTAGGGTTGTGACAAAATAAATTTTTCCTTAGAACCTCTTCAGCGATGTCTATTTGGCTATGTTTACAATACCATACATGAGTTCCCTTTCATTGAGTTGGCCTAGAATCCAATTAGACAGTTGCTGATTACCCCCAAAATAAACAAAGATACCCACTATTTCAGCAGTAGAATTTAGTTGTCGGGATGGTCATTATTGTGGTTCATAGAATTTACAGCTGGATGTGATCATTAATTCATTTTCATCCTTGGCAGTTTGCATAGTGTCTTCTGATACTTTGAGTTCTTGTCTTCATGGAAAAGACTTCCAGATTACTTCCAGCTCAACTGCTCCAAGTCTTTTGTCTGAAGTGTGGCTTGTGTAGGGCATTTCCTTCAAGTTATGGGAGATAATCAGGAGCTATGGCCATAACCTGTATTATTTTGGGAGTCCTTTGGACTACCCTGATCAACAACTCAAAAGAAGGTGTTCCCTGTTTGGTACTGTGTTTTTTTGTTGTGTACCATTCAGCTAGCCACATGAACTTATT